TCTGGGGACCCCTGGCTCCTCTTCTCTGGGGATAGGAAAGGAAATAGTCTTTCTCTTCCCCTCCTCCCCTCCCCAAATCCAAAGGTTTCCCTTTTTTGGTTTGTGAAATGAAAGAAGGGAATTTAGGAAAGGGTTGTGGTTGGGCCTCCACCCACACCCGAATATCCCTCACCCACATCCCTCTCCTCAGTCTGGGGGGAAGCAGACCCTGGAAAATGGGTAATTCTCTATCCGGGGCTTGTCCACAGATGCTAGCCTTGGCTGGGGAGAGGGAAGGGAGAGCAGACACGTGGCCCCGGGAGGCACGGGCGGTGGGGAGAGGCGTGGGGACAGGGGCCCAGTTGCCCAGCACCTCCTGTGTGCCCAGCGCTGTGCTACGGTGCTTTCCAGACTTGTCTGTCTGAAATCACACCCCCAGTTGTTGCGGGGGGCAGCTCACAAGTGAGTAAACAGATGCTTCGAGAGGTTAAGTGACATGTGTAAGGTCACCCAGAGTGGCAGAGCTGAGATTTGACCCTTCAAACCTCTTGTTCTTTCTACCACCTTCATGGCTCAGCCAGCTCTTGTCTTCTTCTCTGGGGGTGTGAGTCTGGGGAGGTAAGGACTGGGCAGGTGGGGACGCCTGACAGCAGGGAAGGTATCCTGGCACCTTTTGGGAGTGAGGGACGCCGCCGTGGGCGGGGTGTGTGGCTGGTGGCCGGCACTCCAGCCCCCACCCCCTTCTACTGTGCCCAGGCGAGGCTCAGCGTATTGGAGGCGTGGGCCTGTGGTTTTCTCTCCCTCGAGGGAGGGTACCCATGGGCAGTGAAGCTGGCGGGCACGGGGTGGAGGTTGGATGTGGGTAGTTTGTTTTCCTTTTCTTTGGTGCTGGTTTTGATTCTCTGACCGTGTCTTCTCTCCCCTGGGTGCAGGGAAATGGGCCCCAGGTGCCTCCCCAAGGGTCATGGCTCCAGAGGGATGAGGCAGGGCCTGTGTTCTTTGCCCCTGCCCCATCATCCCTGCCCTCGCCCATCCCTGTTCCCTGACCAGCCTGGCTCTTGGCCCATTTCTGTGACCTTTACCTCCTCCCATGGCTCAAGGCCCTCCCCGGGGAGCTGAGTAACTCTGCACCAGAGTTTGCAGGCTGACCTGGGTTAGGGATAGTGAGGCTCTGATGGGGTTGGGGAGGCCTTTCAGTCTCTCCCTGGCATGTGGATTTGGTGGTGGTGGTGGAGGGTTTGAATCTTGGTCCAATGCCTAACTCCTCACGGGCAGAGTTGAGGCATTAAGGTGGCTATATTTCTCTCTCCTCTGGGGGCAAGGGTGGGAGGCAGAGGGACTGACTGAATCCACCTTCCACCCCTAAAAGCTGGGTCAGGATGCCTGGGGCCTGGAGTGAATGGCTTTCTGGGCCTCAGCCTCCTGGGCCTTTCCTCAGGGAGGCAGGCCCCTGTATGGACGTGAACCCACCTGAGTATTTGTCAGCGGGGTGCACCTGAGTGTGTGGGTTGGGGGCTGGGCCCCCAGGGAGGCAGGTACAAAGGCCAGCCTGGCTGTGGGAGGGCCAGGGAATGTACGGTTTGGGAAACTGTGGGGCCGTGGTTGTGTGTCTGCGGGGAGCTGTGTCCTGGGGCCGTGCACACAAGCCCCAGGACATAATCATTTTGTGAGCCCAGGTGTGGAGCGATGGTATCTCCAGGTTCCCTCTCCTCACGTGCGTGCCCGCACACACACAGGCTGGGGCACACAAGCATGCTCTTGCCCACCCGGACGCGCTTTCCATAGACCTACGTGTGTGAGTCTCTGCGAGAGAGAGAGAGAGAGAGAGAGAGAGAGAGAGAGAGAGAGAGAGAGAGAG